CCCCCCACACACACTCCGCCGTCCCCACACACAGACAGACAGAGAGCTCTCCACACTGCTCGGTAGGTAGGTGCATTGCCGTGATATATTGATGGATGCCGTTGTAGCTGGCCGCGCCGCACAAACATAGGGGCGTTGGGGCGGTTGTGGTGTGGACGCGACGGACATGATCCGATTCGATGGACCGCCCCGTCAACTCTGTCACTCTGGTGGTGGCACTCAGACGCAGACACACCAGCCGCACGCCCCTTCTGCTTCACAGGTCCCCCTCTCCCCGACTGAGAGGTCGGGTGGCTGAACGAACCACTGAGGACTCGGTTGTTGTCGAGGGACGGACGGCTGTGGCGAGTGAATGCAAGACAGAGAGAGAGCTTGGGCCGGCTGGGTTTGTCGGCGATACGGACGAAGGGCAGACTGACGAGAGAGCGGGGCAGACACCGAATGAAATGAGAGGCCGGCGGCTTGATGGGCGAAACTGCAGCCACAGACAGACAGACAGACAGACAGACAGACAAGCCACACGATGAGCCCATGAGTGAAGAACGTCTTCCTTTCGTGTGTGGTGTAGTTACCTTATGGGCGGTGGTGTGGCGCACCGATCCTCTCTCCCTCTCTCCCCCGCTCACGCACACACACATCTCACGCACTGCACCCAGCCGCACTCACCCTCCACCCTTACCGACACCATCCATCCATCCACCCACCCTCCACCAACCGACCTCCCGCCCCCGACAAGCACCACCACCACCACCAACCGATTGTCTCGGTCAACGAGAACACCGCCGACGCACATAAGAAGTAGACAGACGGGGAGTCGACAGCGACACACCACATCCACGCACACGAACGAAAAGGGAGTGTCCGCACCATACGGAGGGACGAAAACAAAAGGAGAAAGCAGCGTCCGCACCATACGGAGGGACGAAAACAAAAGGAGAAAGCAGCGTCCGCACCATACGGAGGGACGTAAAGAATACGACAAAGGAGAAGAAAAGGGAACGGGTAGGGCTGCTGACTCAAAAGCAATACAATACAATACAATACACTAATTAACTAACGTACATCCATACCCTAGACAAAAACAAAAAACAGCCATCCTCCCCCGTCTGTCTACATATGGGGGCGCGGGGGCCTCTTCTCGTGGTGGCGGTGGGTGGTGGGTGGTGGGTGGTGGGTGGGGTGCTTCTCGTCGGCGGAGAGGGCACAGACGCTGCGGGCTGGCCGATGGCCGAACGACTTCAGCCCCTCCAGGAGGTCACTGTTGCCGGTGGTGGGTGCTGGTGGCTGAGATGGACGAAGGGCAGCGCGTTTCTGTCGGTCGGCCTCGGTGTGGATGGACGATCCGTCTTGTTCGGGTGTGGACTGGATGCTGCTGCTGGGGGCGCTCTGCCTGCGGGCCTCCACAAATAGCGACACGTTTCTCTCCATCTCCGGTGCTCGATGCGGAGGGCATCGGCGCCGCACCTTGACGTCAGGACCCTGGCACAAAAAGCCTGAAGGGGACACAGGATCAAGTCACGTCACCTCTTTGTGTCGGTTGGTTGGTGTGTGTGTGGCTGGCTTACCGAGGAAGTGTCCAAGTAGGTCTGACACAGGGGCCTGCTCGATGGGCACAGCATCGTCTCGTCGCGCGACACAGCAGCCCAGCCCCACTCTGGCCGTACAGTACCACGCCCCGTCAGCATGCCATGCCCCGCCCCCTCCTCGTCAATCGGCGCCGAGCGGGCGGAGTGGCCGACCGTGTCGCCCCGCGCCACCGCCGAAGACATCCTCCCCGGTCGACATTCCTCACGAGCCGCCCTGATTGCCTGGCGATACGAGCCAATCCCCCTGTGGACAGTCGACAACGATGGCTTGTTGCAGAGCGTCTGGCCGGTGTCGGCGCCGGAGCTGCCGTTGTTGGTGGGAGAGGCGCCTCCTGGCACGTTGGGCGGCCGGGTGAGGGGGGCTGCTCGGCAGCCGATGCCGAGCGCAGGCAGCCGCTAGAGATGGTGAATCCCGCCCGTCGGTCAGTCAGAGGGTCTCCTTGCTGTCCACCCGCCCATGTGCCGGTTTGTTGCTGGGGTGCGAGGCCAGGCGGACAGACGCCACGCCCCAACGTCAGATGTTGTATGAGGAGCCACACGCATCTCTCTGTTGAGGACGGCCCCGAGGATGTCCTCCTCCCTCTTTGTCCTCCGCGTGCTGCTCATGGCCGTGCTGAAGGGCGAGGGCGAGGCTGTTGCAGTGCGGCGGGGCTGCCGCTGCCTGATACGGCCGGCGAGAGATGTGGGTCAGTCAGCGCTGCCAAGTCAACCAACCTGAAGCACACACAAACCACACACACAGAAACACAGATACTCATTCAGCTTTGGAGTGCTTGCTGTGGTGTGAGGTGCTGACTGACCTGCTGACTCGGTGGACTGCCTGTTGCCTTTGCTCGTCTCTTGTGGCGGCCCTCTGCCGGACCTCTCTCTCTGTGCTTTCTAATGAGCTCTCTGTTTGCCTTCTTCTGGGGGCATTCGCTGTCCTCTCTGTTCTCCCCCCGGCACACAGACACACACACAGGTGGGTGACGCCCCCAGAAAGACGCACCCACCTTATTGGATCTGGCTGCTCGGCAGCCCGAGATCACCCTAGCTGCCAAAGGACGTCAGAAATGACAGTAAAAATGACTAAAGAACGCAATGACGCACACAGACAGGCCAGGCAAACGAAATGAGAGGGACAGACAGGCGAAAACAAAACCCATCCACCAGCCACGGGGACACTTGTGTGTGTGAGGGGCAGAGCCGTCATCAGCCAGGCCATGAAGGGGGAAAGGGACACATGCATGCAGTCATCACACAAAGGTTTTCGAAGGGCACCACGGCCAGACAGCCGGCCATGGGCCCCTCCTTTTCTTGTCTTTTTTTACGGTGGCCAGACCTACGCAGTCAGTGAGCTTATCTATGGTACACGAGGCCCTTCTCACACAACACAACACAACACAACAGACCCACGCCAGCCAGACCACACACACAGACAAATGGGATGCACACACCGCTACGCATCCACGACAGCGACACTCGCCCTCTGCCGCCACACACAAACCTCATCAGCACCAGCCGGCAGGCAGTCATGATTGCAGCCAAACAGCCAGACAGACCAAACAGATGCAGGACAGGCCAAATGTGCGGTGGACGCACTGCAGTACACTCCACAAATGACGACAGACAGACAGACAGACAGACAGACAGCCAGGCCAACAACGGCGGACGAAAAATACAGACAGCCATCCAGCCACAAGACGGTACACAGCCGGACAGTCTTTGTGTGGCCTTCTCTCATAGGCGGATGCAGACGCCATCCCTGTCTGCAGTGGTGTCTGTCTGTCTGTTTCTCTATGATGGTGTGTTCTTGCCACACACTCGGCGGCCGGGAAGTCCTCGACCGACTCGCTCTCTCGCTCCAACAAAACACCGCTAGTCAGTCACTCTGACGTGACGACACCGCTCACCGACCGAACTTGTGCAACGCACCTGCACACACATCGACCACACACACACACAATAAGTAAACGAATGCACCCCTCCCATGGCCTCCCACCCTCCCTCCCTCCCTCCCTCCCTCCCTCTCTGTGTCTGTGCGCTTACTATCAATGTGTTCAATCGGCGTTCGGTATCGATTCACGTCGGCATGGCGGTGCCGTAGAGGTCCCTCATGTGGCTGAGGGTGGCCTCGGGCAGCCGCACCACGTACCCCTCCTCATCGAGCACCGTCCCGCCCACCACCCCCCACTCAGACACATCCGCCGGGAACATCAGGACATCTTGGAAGCCGCACCACTCCTCCTCGATGAGGGCGAAGCCGCCGTCCGCATGCACGCAGGCCACCAAACTCCCCTCTACGATGTCGCACAACACCCTCAGCCGCTTCCTCGGCGGCTCGCCACTCCCACCCCCCTCCCCACCGTCCGACTCGTCGTCGCTGTCCTCCACACACTCGAGGAGAGGCCGCCTTGGGCGAGGCGCCTCGGGCGTGCGCGGCTCGGGAGTGCCGGGGCGCTCAGGAGTCTGGGCGATGGGTGCGGCGGGGCTGCTGGGCGCCTCTGGTGGACTGGCGGCAGTGGTGGGTGTGTTGGCGCTGATGGCGGTGATGCCGCAGGTGGGCGGTGCATTCCCTGTGGCTCTGGCGCCTGTGCGCCGTGCGTAGGTGTGGTTGGGTTGGTGGCCGTTGCGAATGGCAGTGCGGCGGGTGGGGCGGGAGGGGAGGG